AACTGAGTCTGATAGGAACACAACACAACTCGTGCAGATTTAATGTCCAAAGTAATACTTGTTGAAATAATGATCAATAAAAAGTTTGAGGAGTTTATGTAAAACCAACACAGAGCTGCAGTTTGTGTTAAAAGACAAGTGAGGAGCAGACTTTCCCTCTTCTGGTTAGAAATGCACATCAGATTCTTGGCAGATCCTGCTGCGTCTGAATAGAAACCAGCAAAAAGAAAAAGTCTAATGTGTGAAAATGTGTGTGAAAAGGAGAGAGAGAGAGACAGAGAGAGAGACAGAGAGAGAGAGAGAGAGAGAGAGAGAGAGAGAGACGATGTGTTTTTCATTCTCACACGTCGTATTGATTTCACTTTAATGTGCGCCATCGTTCACCGCTTGAAGGACGAAGTGTTCAGAGAGAAAATGATCACTCACAGCTGCTTTTGTAGCAGCGACTCTTAATGTCACAGAGGAGGAGGGTTTATTTCTTCGTCTAGATGAAAATGGCTCGCTATTAATTTTACAATATTATTAATATTTTTCCTTTTGTGTTTCTGGTCTCAGATCTGTGAGTCTCTGGAGTCGGTTGGCTCTGGGAGAAGGCTCCATCAAAGCCATAAATCACGGCGCCTAATCGCTTTCATTAACAATCACAACACTTTTGCATCTGTGARCATGTCGCTCTAATTGGGGCAATTTGTCCCGATCATTTTCGGGACACAGCGCTGCTCTGCCTTTTTAATTTGTAGCACAAACAAATTATGAGGCGTGTTTGAAACGTGAAGAAACAGAAAGCAGTTTCTGAACCTCCTCTGATATCAAAACCTATTTACACTCACACAGTTCTTTATACATTTAAAGAGTTGATTTATTTCTAATTGATTAACAATAAACCATAGACAAACATCATTGTAAGAGTTATAAATTCAGCARTAAGTTCTTTAAATAAATTGTTCAATCTCAGATTAAAAACAGGACAGATTTATTTAACAAAAACTGAACCAAAACTCAGAATCAGAAAATAAAACCTGATCCAACAGCTCCAAAATGTTTTGACTTTCCCTGTTGCACAGGTTTATTTTCTGAGCAAGTTTTGAACTGAATTTCTCAGGCTGAGTTTTCTCAGTGAACCTGTCTCCTCTGCTCGCCTCATCACAGTGATTATGGCTACGAGAGGCGGAGCGACGGGAAGTGCAGCCCCGCCTTCTGGTTCCATCCAGCGTCCGTCTCCAGGAGCTGCACCACAGGAATGACTTTCCTCAACAGCACTGGGTAAACACCGAGTGCCATCAGTTTGTTTACTGAGAATAAAGAAAAATAATAATAGATATTAGATTTATTAGTGATTAATTTCACAGAATGGGTGGCTGCTCAACATTTCAAAATAAAACAGGAAGTGATAAGTCAGAGATTTGTCCCACGCTGCAATGTTTGTTTGGTTTTTCTTTATCTAAACATTTAATGGACTAAAGAAATWTCAGGGCCAATTCACAATAAGGCTCCCCTTATAGGCTTATAGTTTATAGATAGGTTAGTAATTCATCTATAAAGACTTTAGAAATCATTATGTGTTTATTATGTATTAATTAAGGACAAGAAAGAATCAAAACTGTCTGGTTTCTTGCCATATAGTGAGACAAATCTGTTGATGAAAATATTGCATCTATAGGTGCTTATTAAACATTTCACACTAGGTTTCTACTTGTAAGCACAATAATGATTTTACATATAATATTGTTCTGCATTACTGCATTATACAGATCCACAACTATCAAAGGGTGTCTTGTTGTGAAATGTAAGACAGTACAGTATTTATAAGGCTTCCTTATAACATTTATACATGTTTATTAGTCATTTATAGAGTGTATTGTCTTACACTTTACAATAAGGCTCTCTTTGATAACTGTGGATATGTATAATGCAGTAATATAGTGCATTTCATAATCCATATATAAAGCATATATAGCCTATGAGGGGAACCGTAGTGGTACTAGGGTTGGGTGATAAATCGATTTAATTGATTAATTTGAATTTGCCATTTATAAAGATTTAATTTTGGGAAAATAAGTTTTTTTTTCCCACCAGTGCACTGTTTGGGACTTCTGTAGTTCAGAGGTCACCCCACCTGTCCCTCATGATGCTTGGTACACGACWCGACAATACGACAGCTAGCAAAGAGGATCTACTTCCCAAAAAAAAGGTCACTGTTTCTTCAGTTTTCTGGAACTGGTTAGGTTTCACAACCTCAGAYTTGGAGCAACAAACACCACACTGATAAATCTGTTTGAAGACTCACGCTACAAAAAGGAGAACAACAAATTTGTTTCAACATCTGAAACAGAGGCACTCTGTTAAGTGGGAAATAAAATCAATTAAAATTGAAAATCTCATTTGGGATGAATTTGGGCCATATGGCCCAGCCCTAAGTGGTACTGATTTTTTTTAATGTCCATCTTTACAAAAACACTCAGAACCAGCACCAGGCATTCATGAATCAGGTGGTTAGCTGGCTTTTCAGGAGATAATTGAAATTAAATTAATTTCTCCTTGCTCTGACGCTGTTCTCTCCCACCCTCAGTTACAGGAAGGTGGTCTCTAATAACTGCACAGCCGGAGTGATCGCCGAGTACACGGCCAGGCGGCAGCAGTGCCCCGCCCAGGCCCCCAGAGGTCTCCACCTGGTCACCAGCGAGGCCTCGCTGACCGCCACGCTGGGCAACAACGTCACCTTCCTGGTGTTTCTGGAGGAGGTGAGYGTCTGCTTCGGTCCTGACTCGTTGAATCCACGTGGGGGTGGGAGGGCTGACCGGACACGTAGTGGGGTGGCGTTAAAGTTTTTTTTTTTTGCAATTACACAGTGGACCTGTGAATGTGAACAGCTGTGCCCACTGTTTCATCACACCTGAGAGGAAATGTTCCCCGACTGAACCATGTCCATGGAAGCCAGACTGCAAACCTTTACAATTTGTTCTCAGTGTTTGTTTTATTTAGTGAGTTCACCATAAATACACCTGAAAGATCATCAGCTGTTTCATTCATTTATTCTCACAGCTGGAGTGGAAACCCCACTGTGGGTCACAAAATACTCAGATAGCATCCAAAAATTCACTTTCTTTTTGAAATATTGGCTCATTTTTTAAAATTTATCATATTATATATTAGCTGTTTGTTTTTCCGTTGTGTTCTTGTTTGTTAGTGTTGGACTCTGACTGATGTTTAAAGGGTCAGAAGGTCAAAGRTTGGGAATCACAGGTTTAAATGTTTTTAAAGATACACAACAAACTCACAAAAAAACTTTATTTTAAAAAGCCCCACATGACCATCACACAGACTGTGTATAAAAAAAGTCTTTCTTTATAGTGATAAAAATTATTAAAACAGGCTTACATACATTTATTAGTCAAATAAAACAAAAGTGTAAACTGCAGAGTCCTGGCCTGTAGATGAGTGTAAACTGTAGTGTACTGGGGTCGGATTTATAAAACTGGCGTACGCACAATTTGAGCCCAGAAACTTG